GTCATAGTAAATAGGCCTTTTATGTGGATCATCTTTTTTTAGTAAATTAATAAAAGAAAATATTGCATCTAGTACTTCCTTCAAATGTTCTTGTTCCTCACAGAAGAGTTTTACAGTAATCTTGAACATAGTGTATATACCATTATATTTTAAGAACGTTTCACTGCTACATTGAACATTATCATCTAAACTTATACAATTTGGCATTTTGTTGCGTAGATAACTTGTTAAAGAACCTTTTCCTCCATGCCTAATAATCCATGCGAGATATTCATGAGGTTTGCTGTTATAAAAATCGGATGGTAAAGGCACTGTCCATGTTACTTCTACCTGCAAAAGACAATTTTCAATTTATTATATACATATATGTACTATAAATATAATTTCTTTTTTGAATCTGTATTGAAGATTTAAATTTAACGTACTTCGTCACCTTGCTTAACTGTCACATGTGAAAAATGAGAACATGTCTCGGAAAATACTCTTTCAACTTCGAGAGTATCAATAGAACTATTATAATCATCGAGAGTTAACTTATTACTTGGTACATCAACAAAGCATTTTGTAACGAATTTTTCCAGTGTACTCAATGATAATTTAGCCTATAAAAACATGTATTATGTTATATAAAAATGTATTTAATAATTCGTCAATGATTCACAATTTATATTGAGTTACCTGTATAGCAATTGTCATTCTGTGAGCACTGTAATAGCGATTTCTGAATTTGTGCAATTCTTCGTACAATATATTATCATCCATATTATTGATAGAGATCATAGAACTGTCACGAATATACTTATTGACTGGATCGGTTTGCGCAGAGGATAACGCTTGCTCCTTACTCTCCTCACAATGTATCAATTTATACTCTATATATGAAAATGGCATATAAAGACTGAAAGTTACATTGATATGATATTATAATTTATATACCATATATAATTTTCTCTCTCTCTCGTATAATGATATCTTTCGTCATCAAGGGTTTAATAAACCATTGAGCAAAACGATCAAGAGCAGGAAACAAGTGTTCTTCTTGAATAGCAAAGTAAAATGTTGTTTGTTCGCTATCTGTTGAGACGCCAACAGATCCGCCACGTTTTTTGATGAAACTCCCAAAACTTTCTTCCTGTGTATAAGGTGATACTTACACATTTACTCTCTGAAGATTAAATTCTTTAGAGAATAAATATATATTGTTTTTAGTTAAAAATATATATCTCACTCCAAAGAGTGAAAATTGAACCATTCTCGAAATAGTAACTCATTTTCAATGTTAAAGGTCGGATTGCACCAATAAAACTTTAAGCGAGGCATAAAAATCTTACATTCTCTCTTTAAAACCGATAGAGTGGGAGAGGCAGAGAGTTTTAAGCCTTGTTTAAAGTCAAAGCAATCGAACTTAAAAGCAAAGTTTTACTTATTAGAATGAGATTCAATGTAAAAATATAGACCATAATAGGAATAAACGAAATTTTATACAAAAAATTGTGTATCATGTTTTAGTACATCTGTGTATTTTTCGGATCCCACGAAAACCATATGCTTCAATAAATTTGCTATGCCTTGAATGTCTGGATCGCTGAAACATCCTACTTCCACACATAAGCCACATGCTGCCTATTTGAAAAATATATGCATATATACACATCATGCCATACACACAACACACACTGTGTAAATTATATTGAATGGAGAAATCAACACAATCAATAGAATAATCCGTACATAATTCAAATTAAATGACATATTTCGAAATAAATCTATGAGAACTTTTCAAATAGAGTAAATAAAACCATTATTTAAATGTATACCTTTGATAAAACTGATAATATATTCTTACATTAGTTCTTGTAAATATAAATTCCTTTCATGTGTGATTTTATTATCTATCTTTAATATTATAATGTCGATAAATTTCTAAGGACGGATTAAGAATTAATTTGGCAAAATTTATATCCTAAAATGCATTTAAATTGTCTCATTTATACCTTTTTTTCATTTCTCTCGTCGTCTTCATTTCGAAAATCATCTGTTTTTAAATTTATATCTGATATAAGCAGAGCTGTTAAACCATTTACTAATCTGATGACCCTAAATTCAAAAGACAAAACAAATAACAATGAAATAAAGTCAGTGAGAATGTCGGGCATATAAAAAAATCTAATCTTCCTTTGTACAAGGCGGATTAACTGTAACGGATTAATTGTAACGTTTGTCTCGAAAGATTGTCGTCATGATATTTTACAGATCTATTAGGAAATTATTCTTTTTACTAAGTATGTGCCTTTCTGTTACCTATAATCCTTTTTGTCGCTTTCCGATTTGACTGGCTTCTCCAGATATTCAACTCGATGCTGATCATTTTCTTCTGTATGCTCCATTTATGCAGGCAATATATTATATATCGACGTGCACAGAAAATCACAGCAAAATGATCTGATGTGAGAATTTCTAATAGAATTTTGAAGATTAAGGGTTTTCAATTTTCTAGTAGACTTGGAGCAATTTTAGCTGTACCCGACACTAGTATTTCTTTCTTCGTGGCACTCGCTCTTCAACAAAGATCAAACGTTTAATAATTTGTATATTGTAGCTAGACGCACGTACAAAGAATATATACAATTGTAGATATGCTTACTTATTTGTGTTATTTACGCAGCGGTTTAAGGCAGGTATTCATAATCGATTCTTTTATTTAAAAGTGGCCTAAGTAGTCTGAAAATGTCAATAAACCAACTACAGAGCCTTCACAATAGCATTTAAAGTTACATATAAAGAAGGCATTTTAGAATATAGCCTTAAGATATTATGAGACGATATCGATATAAGAATTGATTTATGAACTAGTTTAACTTTATAATTGTTTATTTATTGTAAACCCATGCGGGAAAAAGATTGTACATACGACCTGCGTTAATAACAAAAAAAATTTTTTTTCCCAAGAAGCACAAACTAGAATATGTGTTTCTTATGGATTTAGAGTCACTAATTCTGAAATACTAATCCATATATTCAAATTTTATCAGTGTACAATGGCTTTATTATTCGCCAGTTTGCACTAGTGCTTCCAATCGAATTCGCTATTGGACGACCTGCCTGAGTCATAGAAAATTCTTTTAACTTTAATACAGTATTTTATAAAATTAAAATTATAATATCCATTTTTAAAGTTAAAATACTTTCTTGACTCAAGCAGATGGTTTGACTATTTGTTGCACAACGGAACATCAATCTATTTGATGATGTACAACATAAACAGAAATACCTAATATTTGGTCTGTTCGACTTGCTTATACTTTTTTACAATTTTTACACTTAAAATGAGATAGATATATATTAGACGCAGGGAAGAGAGACAACGAAGATGCTGAGTTTAAAATGTATAAGCAAGTCGAACAGACCTATTAGTAAATCAAAATTTTTTTGTTCCTTACATTTTGTTTAACTTGCCAAAGTATATTTAAATCAGTTCCGTAACCGCATTTTAATGTTATATTTACTTTCGTACTTTTCAATGCCAAATCGAGTCCAAACACTAGGTATAATTGTGTATCAAATTCTTTATTGTATTAGAATATACGTTCCGATCCTTGTATCGGATACTTATCAATATTTCTTAGTTACTAAGTTACATCAATGTGTTCCATAGAACACTATATTATCGTATGTTATTTACCAGTACTAGCTTAATTATAAATACAGATATAAATTAAAATTGAGATTAACTTACATGATATAATGTTAGTATATGCGAAAATCATGTTACTCGTCATGTCTATCGTCAACAAGCAAATGCGCTCGTTTACAACTTGCCGATTATTTTATCTTCTGTATATATATAATTCGCATGACCGTCAATTATAAATAACAAAAAGATTGAAACCTAAACTTTAGCCAATAAACACTCATGTGCTGATTTCAAATTTTCCGTGTCAGTTTGTAAATTCAAGCTATTTTCTTGTCTATACGTATATGCATCGTTTCAGATGTGAGTCTTTTGTATAAGATGTAGTGTTCTAGGGAGCACATTGATGTAACTTAATAAACTAAGAAATATTGATAAGGATCCGATACAAGGATCGAAACTTATATTCTAATACAATAAAGAATTTGATACACAATTATACCTAGTGTTTGAATTCGATTTGGCATTGAAACGCATATTGTTTTATTCATCCGAGTCAATAATCAAGAAATTTTATTTTCGTACTTTTCTCAAACGTTTCAATTTTTATAAATATTTCATCATTTTTTTCAATTTACTTAAAAAGTTGGACGTGATGGAGCAAAACGGTTTACGATTCGTTTTCGGATTTACAAATTCGGATTCAGCTACCTTAAATCTATAGAAATATCTACTCACATTTATGTTTCTCTAAAAATTATATTATAATATTTTTTGTGATACGGTAGTAATTTGGGCCGAATTCTACTAATCTATATACCGCAATGTAAAACAGCATGCTATAATTAATTGTACTTAGTATGAAATGCACTAAATATAAATATTGTTAATAAATTATTTAAATTCTCTCATCTGCTATTGTTTTCATAAAATTATTTAAATTTTTATGATTAAAATATAATTAACAAACAATGTTAGACAATAACAATTTGACAATTCCAATTAACAATATTTTAAATATAACAAATAAAATTCCTTTTTAGCTGATTTTGCGGAAACAAGTCACATATGTATACATTATGAGTTTTCACTTCCCTACTAACCCAAATACATCAATATTAATAAAGTACAATGAAAGTAGTATCCGAAAAATAAGACAGTATTGCCATAGGATACTTCAATATCCGCTACATTCTCCAATTGTTATTATTATGCAATGATTAATATTAAATAAACAAAACAGAACTTTATTTTCACTACGCAATACAAATTATTATTTTATTTTCAATACACTATTTTTGCACAACACAGTTTCCAAGACACGTTTTGAGGACGTCCTGTGGAGAACCGTGGTGTGCATTACTATTAATTAGTTATTCTTTGCTTTAAGAGGATAGGTATAAAGATATTTCTTGTAGTCTTTTACGTCAACAATACGATGATTTCCAGTTTCCTGCTGATCGTCGTTTATATATTCCAAAGTAAAGTGCTCTGTCTTGGGATCCTCAACTATAACAATTAACATTCTTAATTGTAACTGTCTCAGAAACTTTGACCAATTTAAACATAATTCAATAACAAAAAGTGGAAAGCAAAAAATGATGTTACAGAATCAGAAGACAAATAAGCATTAACCAAAACTCAATAAAAAGAATTATATACTAACTATTTTCTTTTTCGACCGCAATATTCTCTGGATCATTTCCTACTACATGTATGCTTAATTTTCTAAAATTACTTCCGTTCTCCGTGTGTTTTGCAAAACATTCTTTCAGATCATTGATCTTTATATCCTTCATTACAAGCATTTCCCTCTCATATCTGTCAAAAACGTATTTCCCCGTTATTATCTCACTCCAGTTTCTATTAACTTCTTCACTAAAAGCATTATCGAAATATCGATTTGTTTTTTCTGCAATTTTCTTAAAATCGTCTAAATTCGTTTCATGGGAATCTTTCAAATTCTCATGAAAGAATTGCAAAAATGCCTCGATCTGCTGATCGATATGCTCGGTTGTGTATTTATTTGCATCAGCATAAACGGTAATGAAATATCCTAAAACTCCGTTAATGTTGTCGTAATCGCACAAGATAATTTTAAACTGCAGTTTTTTATCTACTATCCAAACACATATCATTTCATTCATTACTTCCTGAAAACAGATACAGATGAATATGATACGCGGATGAAATCAATCGCAATAATCGAATACGTTACACATATATATAGTTTGTTCACTTATATATAGAAATAAATATACGTAAAATACAAATAAATAGAAACTGAGAATTGCAATGCACTCAAAAAATATACAAAAAATGTTATTCAATACTTACTGTCATCATATGGAGTAATACCGACAATTTAAATGACGTGATACCAACTTGATAATAATTTGTCACCATAGAAGTTTGATCAGTTTTGTTAAAACTTTTTAACTTACAACAGCTTATGCCCAAAGGTATTTGCATGACTATCATCTGGTGTAATGTATTACTAAGCAAGGGACCGCAATTCACTATTTCGAGACATTCCCGTATAGTTACGAGTGCATCGTCCGGCGTTATGTTACCTTGCACGAGGCACTGGATGTACAAATGATCGGTAAAGGATTTCACAAAGCATCGGAATTCTTTAAAATTTACACTAGATAGAGCAGTATGCATGTCGACGTATGTATAATGAATAAGCTTCAAGATCGACAATTTCACGTCACTATAAGAAAGAAGAAAGGAAGTTATTAATCCGCAGAAATTTCATTTTAGAGTTTTAATTGTTATAGTTAATTTGTTTCTATCAGTTATGTAAAAACTTTATGGTTGTTGTAATTATGTTTAATAATAAATAACAAGTACTTGATAAAAACAAATGGATTCATAAATGCCTTGCTATAATATCCCTCATCTAATAGTCGCACTTTGCAACATTCAAATAAAGATTCTGTAACAAGTGCTGGACAGTCAACCATGCATTTTGCAATAGTTCTCAACAAGAGCTGTAATAAGTAAAATAATATAACTCGAAAGGGTATTTATAAGAAATAATAATAATAATAATAATAAGAACACTTAGTATAAAAACACAATTAACAATAAAAAAAGCTAGAGAGTAACGACTCTGAAATTTCAAAGCATCATTATATGAGCCGTTTATTTTGAAAGTGGCCTAAGTCCATTTTTCAATGTTTTGTTGTTGACCTTTGTAGTAGCGTGTACAACTTGAAGTTAGCTGTCATAAACAACATTTTTTTTTTTAAATGGACTTAGGTCACTTTCAAAATAAACGGCTCATATATACATTATATATACATTTATATATATGTATCATATATATATATAGCATTATATATATATATATTTCATTATATTATATTATATTATATTATATATTCTATTAAAAATGTCAATAGTTGTGGCTACATTTAGAGCCATTCTTAGGAAACAATTATTCTCTCATATTAATTTCACTCGCATTGCCCTGAATCGTGCAGCTCTAATGCCATAATTAATTCCATACAATGATTATAATCTTCAAGTAAATAATAAAATTTTAAAAAAATAAATGTAAAGATCAAAACCACAGAAAAATAAGATATACAGTATATATCTTTCTTTAATAACATAAAATTCCGTAACCATGTTGGAGAATTAAAAAAAATAAAATTACATACTAGTCCATTAGAAGTTAGAAATAAAATTCATTTTTTATTTATTATTAACAAAAAATATTGTATTGTTACGGTTTCGGTTTCGAGTTTTCCTTTGCCTGTTATAATTTGACCCAGAATTGAATCTAACGAATACTGTAAATAACTAATACCTGCGATACTTTCTGTACTAATACGAAAATATAATCTAATATGTAACCAAAAACTTGAGACTGAAGAAGATTCAAAATACGATCGAAAAGTACTGCTAATGAAATACGAAATATATTTGAAATTTGCACTTAACTTACTACACCGTTATTTATATTAATATTATATTGCTAATTATATATTTTTGTATTTATAATTTCAATACATACTTTATTTTATACTTACAGGTAATTTTTCGCTAAACCCGTTAATTTCGATTATAATACCTTTATAACTGGTATGGACATGATATTCAAATCCAGCTACCACAGCTGGATATAATTCTTCGAACAAAAGCAGTTTTAATGCATGACAGTACATTTCCATAATAACTGCACTAAAATGTCATACGTGAATGTTCCATTCATAAAATAGATAAATGTAAAATTATATAAATATCATAGATCGGCAATTACATCATGCTGTAAATTTTTCTTATAATATCTTATAAAATTTTCCAGAATTTTTTTAGAAAATTCAGATTCGCTTACAATTTTTTATTAATTTTAAAACATTTAAACAATTTTCTCGGTTTCTATATACAGTTTCGAACGCTTTTCGGATATGTCGAGAAAATTTACCAAGCCAAACGAACGAGCGCAAGCGAATCATTTTTAAACTCTTCATATATGTGAATTCTGAAGTGTTTTAAGATTTCTAAAGTTTTTTTTTTCAGAAATATTCTGAAATTAAAAATTTCAAAATATTTTATAATTTTATAATATATTTATAAAAAATTCTAAGAAAAGTTGTTCGATTTCTCAGTGTTTAAGAAAAGTCGCTACTTGTTCCAATCCCAAAAAAATATGACAAATGTTTCTAACTAACATTAGCGTATATAGGGTCAGTAATACAATAGCAGTACTATTACGAAGTAGTACCTACTATTACAATTTCCATGCTATTACTTACTTCTTCGGGGACTGAACTCCTATAGTGGAAACAAATTGGAAATTCACATAACATTTCGGCAAACGAAATTTGAGATTCGGGCAATACCAAATTTCCGATATGTGATCGTTGTATATTTTTACAGGATATTTCGAAACTTTCTCTGGTATCGATATTAAAGAGAAATCGCTGGCAATGAATACATTCTTTAATGGTAAATGAAAATTTGACAACGGCTCAATGGATTTCCAATGTTCGATATATTCCTTTGATACTTCAATATATATATGTTTCTTTCCGTCCCAATTTACATGGGACTGAACTTCATTATGATCAATAGTCAAAGGAAGAGGCTTTTTTTGCAAAATAGTGATAATCGCAGTCTCTGGCTTCAAATAATTCAAACACTTTTGTATATCTTCTGGATTGTACTTAATACAAATAAGTTCATTTGCAGTTATATAATCACGTGGTGGATAAAAGTGCATACCCTTACACAAACTTACTATATAGTCCACAGAATCTTTTTCGTCAATAAATCTAAAAAGACCACAAATTGTTTCACATACATAAATTTTGACAGACTTTTCTTTTTCAATTATATCTCTTTTGATATATATTTTTTTACACATTTGTAAAATAAATTTACCTAAAATTATATTTCATTATCTTATAAATGTCATAGTAAATAGTCCTTTTATGTGGATCATCTTTTTTTAGTAAATTAATAAAAGAAAATATTGTATCTAGAACTTGCTTTAAATGTTCTTGTTCCTCACAGAAGAGCTTTACAGTAATCTTAAATATAGTACATATACAATTATATGTCATGGACGTTTCACTGCTACATTGAACATTATCATCTAAACTTATACAACTTGGCATTTTATTGCGTAGATAACTTGTTAAAGAACCTTTTCCTCTATGCCTAATAATCCATGCGAGATATTCATAAGGTTTACTGTTATAGAAACTGAGTGGTAAATGCATTGTCCATGTTACTTCTACCTGCAAAAGACAATTTTTAATTTATTATATATACATATACACACTGAGAGAAAAATGTTTGGTATTTATAACTATTTTATGGTTATAACAACTATAATTATATAGTTTTTAGGTCGCCAACTATATACATTTGTTGCTAGAACTATATACATAGTTACTGTTACTATTATTATAGCAGTAATAATCAGAATTACAGTAATATATAATTATAATTACAAATACCAAACATTTTTCTCTCAGTGTACGTATATTTATTATAAATATAACTTCTTTTTTGAATCTATAATGAAGTGTTAAAGTTAACGTACTTCGTCACCTTGCTTAACCATCACATGTGATAAATGAGGCCTTGTTTCGATTAATACTTTTGCGATTTCGAGAGAATCAAAAGAAACACTAGGAATATAGTAATCAGGAGATAATCTATTACTTGGTACATCAACAAAGCATTTCGCAACGAATTTTTCCAGTGTGCTCAATGATAATTTAGCCTATAAAAACATGTATTATGATATATAAAAAATGTATTTAATAATTCGTCAATGATTCACAATTTATATTGAGTTACCTGTATAGCTATTGTCATTCTGTGAGCACTGTAATAGCGATTTCTGAATTTGTGCAATTCTTCGTACAATTTATTATCATCCATATTATTGATAAACATCATAGAACTATCACGAATATACTTATTGACTGGATCGGTTTGCGCAGAGGATAACGCTTGCTCCTTGCTCTCGTCACAATGTACCAATTCATACTCTATATATGAAAATGGCATATAAAAAATGAAAGTTACATTGGTATGATATTATAATTTATATACCATGTATAATGTTCTCTCTCTCTCGTGTAATGATGTCTTTCGTCATCAAGGGTTTAATAAAGCCTTGAGCAAAACGATCAAGAGCAGGAAACAAGTGTTCTTCTTGAATAGCAAAGTAAAATGTTGTTTGTTCGCTATCTGTTAAGACGCCAACAGATCCGCCATATTTTTCGATGAATGATTCAAAACTATCGTCCTGCGTATAAGATGATACTTACACATTTACTCTCTGAAGATTAAACTATTCAGAGAGTAAATATATTCTTTTTAGTAAGATCTCACTCCAAACAGTGAAAATTGAACCAATCTCGAAATAGTAACTCATTTTCAATGTTCAAGGTCCGATTGCACCAATAATACTTTAAGCGAGGCATAAAAATATCACATTCTCTCTTTAAAACCGATAGAGTGGGAGAGATAGAGACAGTTTTAAGACTCGTTTAAAGCCAAAGTAACGTTAGTGCAACCGAACCTAAGAGCGAAGTTTCACTCTTTAGAATGAGATTCACTGTAAAAATATAGACAGTAATAGGAATAACTGAAATTTTATACAAAACATTGTGAATCATGTTTTAGTACTTGTGTGTATTTTTCGGATCTCATGAAAACCATACGCTTCAATAAATTTGCTACACCTTTAATGTCTGGATCGCTGAAACATCCTACTTCCACACATAAGCCACATGCTGCCTATTTGAAAAATATAGGCATATATACACATAGCACGCCTTACACACAATACACATTGTGTAAATTATATTAAACGATGAAATCATCACAATCAATAGAATAATCCTTACAGAATTCAAATTAAATGACATAATTCAATATAAATCTATGAGTACTTGTCAAATGGTAAATAAAACCATTATTTAAATGTATACCTTTGATAAAACTGATAATATATTCTTACATTAGTTATTGTAAATATAAATTCTTTCATGATTTTATTGTCTATCTATATTATAATGTAAATATTATAATGTAATTAATATTATAATGTAAATAAATTTCTAAGGACAGATTAAAAATTAATTTAGCAAAATTTATATCCTAAAATGCGACTAAATTGTCTCGTTTATACCTTTTTTTCATCTATCTCGTCGTCTTCATCTCGAGAATCATCTGTTTTTAAATTTATATCTGATATAAGCAGAGCTGTTAAATCATTTATTAATCTTATGACCCTAAATTTAAAAGACAAAACAAATAACAATGAAATAATGTCAGCGAGAATGTCGGTTATATAAAAAAATCTAATCTTCCTTTGTACAAGGCGCGGATTAACTAATTGTAACGTTTGTCTCAAAAGATTGCCGTCATGATATTTTACAGGTCTATTAGAAAATTATTCTTTTTACTAAGCATGTGCCTTTGTGTTACCTATAATCTTTTTTGTCGTTTTCAGATTTGACTGGATTCTCCAGATATTCAACGTGATGCTGATCATGTTCTTCAGTATGCTCCATTTATGCAGGCAATATATTATATATAGACGTGCACAGTAAATCACAGTAAAAAGATCAGGTCTGAGAATTTGTAATAGAATTTGAAGATTAAGGGTTTCAAATTTTCTAGTAGACTTGGAGCATTTTAGCTGTACCCGACACTCGTTTTTCTTTCTTCGTGGCACTCGCCCTTCAACAAAGATCAAACGTTTAATATTTTGTATATTGTAGCTAGACGAACGTACAAAGAATATATACTTGTAGATATGCTTACTTATTTGTGTTATTTACGCAGCGGTTTAAGGCAGGTATTCATAATCGATTCTTTTATTTAAAAGTGGCCTAAGTAGTCTGAAAATGTCAATAAACCAACTACAGAGCCTTCACAATAGCATTTAAAGTTACATATAAAGAAGGCATTTTAGAATATAGCCTTAAGATATTATGAAACGATATCGATATAAGAATTTATTTATGAACTAGTTTAACTTTATAATTGTTTATTGTTTGTGAACCCATGCGGGAAAAAGATTGTACATATGACCTGCGTTAATTTTTTTTTTTTTTGGCATCCCTTTTATTATTATAATTACCATCTATCTTGTGTACAAGATATTTAGCAATAGTTTTATTTGGCGTACATGAACATGAGAAGGAATACATCCAGTGATGTATCCTTATAAATTACCTTATTAATACCATATTAAAATTAAATACAAATTAAAATATAAATATTATAGGTTTTAATGAGGCTGGGTATTTAGCTTTATATAGTGCTTATATTTCTTATATTTTTAGCAGAGGTCCAATAGTGATTTCTTCTTACGTCGTTGCAGAGTTCTTGATTTGTTTGTCAGGTTCACTGCGTAAATGTTCGAGTGTCTTTTAAGTCTAGCTTGGTAGCTTTTTGTCAACTTTGTAATTTCTTCCTTAACACTTAGGACTTGAAGATCACTTTGTATAGTGTCATTGGTTATAAACCATGGCGCATTTACAATCATTCTTAACACTTTAGATTGAAAGCGTTGTAATATCTCGATATTAGAGTTGGCTGCTGTTCCCCACAGTTGGATGCCGTATGTCCATACCGGCTTGAGAATAACTTTATACAACAGAAGTTTATTTTCAACTGATAACTTTGATTCACGGCGAAATAACCAGAACATTGTTCGTAACTTAAGTCCGAGCTGTTTCCTTTTGGTAAAGATATGTTTTTTCCATGTGAGGCTGCGATCAAAATGTATGCCAAGGTATTTCGCGGTTTCGGATTGAGGAACTAGTTGATCATTGAGTGTCACTTGGGGACATGTTCTTCTTCAATTGGTAAATGTGACATGGACTGACTTACTTTCATTGGGTTTAATACGCCATTTAACTAACCAATTTTGAATATTATTAAGATTATTTTGCAGTATATCTGAGGCTGTTTCGTGGTTGACGTGTGAAGCTAGAGCCACTGTATCGTCCGCAAATGTAGCTGTCATGACGCCGCTAGTTGTAGGCAGATCAGCAGTATACAGGAGATAGAGTAGGGGTTCAAGAACACTACCTTGTGGTACTCCGGCATGTATTTGATGAAGGTTCGTAGTTGCTTCTTGATATTTTACATAAAAAAATCTATTTTCAAGATATGACTTGAGTAAAATGTAATAATTCAAGGGCAGGTTTCTTTTAATTTTGTACAGTATTCAGCCTTATTCAACTTAGTCTTCATCTCGGGAGATCTAGTCAATTGGCATTGTTTCCTTAATCTTCGTTTTTCTGCTACTTTTTGTTTAGTCAAGTCGGACCATTCCTTAACTTTTTCCTTTGAATAATTAAATGGTGTGGCTTCCCACGCTGCTTGCTGTATGCTGTGGTTGAAGTGTTCTACTGCCTCATTAATTTCGTCCTCTGTTTTTAGGGATATAGATATATTTAGGGTTTTTTCTATCTGTTCTCGAAAGTACGTCCAGTCCGTTCTCCCGTTGCTTAGTACACACGGTTTTTCTTTTTTAAGCACTTCGCTGCGCACTGTTAATAGTACCGGTGAGTGGTCTGACGAGAGCTCTAAGCACGATTGTACCTTTAGATATCGCTTGTTTATATTTTTGATGACATAAAAATCTATTACATCAGGAATTTTTCTTCTATCTGTGGGCCAATATGTTGGCTCCCCCTTGGATGCTGGTTCTAGATTTAAGTTTTCCATGGCTTTATGTAGTTCTCTTCCTTTAGGTGACATCAATCGCGAGCCCCATAAAGGGTGTTTAGCATTGAAATCTCCTCCAGAGATAAAGCGATTGCCCAGTGTTTCAAAGTAGTTTTCAAAATCTTCTTGTTTGGTTGCATGTTTTGGCGGGCAGTAAATGGCTGAAATGGTGATCGGACTAAACCAATCCTCGATTACTACGTTTGTCGCTTGCATTTTCTCTGTTTGGTAATTATTGCTTATGTGATGTTTGATTGTACCTGCGTTAATAACAAAAAATTTTTTTTCCGAAGAAGCACAAACTAGAATATGTGTTTCTTATGGATTTAGAGTCACTAATTCCGAAATACTAATCCATGTATTCAAATTTTATCAGTGTACTATGGCTTTATTATTCGCCTGTTCGCACTAGTGCTTCCAATCGAATTCGCTATTGGACGACCTGCGTGAGTGATAGAAAATTCTTTCTACTTTAAAACAGTATTTTGAAAAATTAAAATTATAATAACCATTTTTAAAGTTAAACTACTTTCTTGACTCAAGCAGATGATTTGATTATTTGTTGCACAACGGAACATCAATCTATTTGATGATGTACAACATAAACAGAAATACCTAATATTTGGTCTATTCGACTTGCTTATCATTTTTACCATTTTTACCACTTTTTTACCATTTTTACACTTAAAATGAGAGATATATAGGGTGTCCGAAAAGTGTGGAAACGGTCGAATATCTCGAGAAATACACATCGGATCAGAAGTCTGAAAATATACGTATTCAATGTTTTCAAAAAAGCTATCTTTTGACGTCTAACATGACCCCCCACCCCCACCCGCTGTGGGTGAAAGAGAGGGTAAGTTTAAAATTTTAAATAGGAACTCCCATTTTTTATTGCAGATTTCGCTTCTTCAGTAAAAGTTACATAAATTTTACCTATTACAAACATTTTTTTGATGACAGATGGCGCTGTAATCAGCGAAATTAAAAAATGAGTCTAAAACGTTTAAAATAT